ACGAATGAGGTACATTCCACGGTAAACATTTTATCTGCATCTAGCTAAAACAAACTCCAAGACCAACAACTACCACATCTTTTCAGCCGACTTCATAACTTTATAAAGTCAATTTTATAAAACTGCCATTTACAGAGTTATGCTTCCTTCTGAACACAGGTCATTTTCAACCAACCTGTCAGGTGCCTTTCTCCAGGGATCTCATTATAGGTTAAACCAAAGAATAACTAGCCTAAAGTTGTCCAGTATGCTTGGCAGCTAAGCTCTGAACTCATCTCTCTGCCATCCGAGTCTTTTCAGACTGGTGCAGTTGCTCTTTGATCACAATTAGGAGATGAGGGAAGTAGGCTAAATTCCTAATTTTCCAAGATGCCACATCATTTATTAACATTATCCTAGAGCTCACCTATGCACATGTAGATATGCTATTCCTTTTACTGCTCATTTAATGTCTATGGGAAATGTCCACAGATCTGTTACTGATTTCAGTACAATTGAAACCAACCTCATCCAGTTTCCTTTCACTCTTAGAAATAATGTTTGTAAAATTTCTACTAGCAGTGCTTCATCCCTAAAAGAAAGGTGAGAGATTCAACCTATGCATTCTCTGCCTTGGAAAGAATTGTGGCTTTCTCCAGATATGTAACAGTGCCTGTGGCAAGATAAAAGACACTTCCGCATGATCACAGATGTTTGCTGCTCATGCATTCTGGAACTGGATCCTGATGCCAAAACAGGATCAGGCAGTGCCCTCTCTCTTGCCCCAGGCTCAGGTTATTCCCAACCAGGTATAAACAGCAGGTGGAGCACATACAAAAGGAAGCAGGGAGCTTAGCATAGAGGTAAGGCTGTTCCTAAGAAATTAGCAAAAAGGACACCTGAAAAAAACCTTTGAGACTGGTCTTAAAAAGAGAACAGAAGCAGGTTTCCAGGGCAAAAATCCAGCTCCTGTCTTGAAAAGGAAATAAGCCACCAGCAGCTCCATTGTAATGCCACTTAATCATGTGCTCTACCTGCTTCTATGTATTGCAGAAATCTTTAGCAGGTTAAATATATTAGTCCAGCGGTTCCCAACCTTTGGCCTCCAGATGTTCTTGGACTAAAACTCCCAGAAGCCTTCATCACAAGCTGTGCTGACCAAGATTTTTGGGAGTTGTAGTCCAAGTCCATCTGGAAACCCAAGGCTATGAACCACTGTATTAGTTGAAAGCAGCAGAAACAATCAAGAGTCTTATGGCACCTTAAAAACTCACAAGCTTTGTTTGATATATGTTTTTTTTGTGAACCAAACCAGGCCACTGATCTGATGCTATGGTGATGTGGGATGAGGGCTATTAAAGCATATGCTAAATAAAACAGTTTAACTCTGATAAGGAGGCTTGTGATGAGGTCTCACTTCCCACAATGCCATCCTGCCCACCAAATTGGTCCAGGCCAAGGACCAAGCCATATGCCTGTCCCTGTTCTAACACATAGTTTAGATCTTACAGTTATAGAAACCAGCTCGCAGAGAGCCCTTTAACCTCAGCTCTCTACTCCATCTGGGAACCTGGTAAAGGAGGCCCTTCAGTCTGGTTTGGCTCTGGGCGTTTCTCCTTCCCCAGAGCAGAGCTGAAGATAAGCACAACAGTCTGTCAAGGTGAGTCCCCACATTATTTCTGCACAGAAGAAGCCATCAGCTTACATCCAGAATTACTAAGAGGAGAGTAAGTGATCAATATGCCTCAGCTGGTGCCACTAAAGGAACCCCTTGCTCTGTATGCATGTGGAGGATGGGCATGCAGCTATGCAGTCCGAACACATGCCCCTGGCAACATGCTGTCCCTAAACCTGCCAATTATCACCCTGAAGTATTTCCTTAACTGGAGCGTATGAATGGTTGTCAAGGTTGGAAGGGTTTGTACTATCTTCTCGCAGGAAAAAATCAAGTATGATAGTGTAGATGCCTATTGATCCAACTCTGGGAACTATTTTGCAGTTTCTCTTGGATATTAGAGAGTTGTGTTGAAGCATATTTGCAAGAGAGAGGGAGCGGGACAAAACCAGAACTATTTTTGGCACCATTTTCTGTTGATTTTTGGCTTCACTTTCCATCAGCCACCCTGCCCTACCAGCTGTGAAGGGCACTAGCTGCCATTGATTGTGTCATGCCTGCTACTAGCTTATGTCTTCAGAATGACATCTTGTAACTTAGTGACACAATCAGAGGTTGTGCAGGCATACATTCTAAAGTTTTATGGAAAATGGTTTTGTCACACATCCCCTGCATCTGGAGACATTTATTGCCAGGGCAAAGAGTATGTTTTTCTGCCACACTTTAAATTGTTCCTCTTCCACCCCAAATTCTGAAAGTCCACTTCATCCTGGAGACCCACTCCATCACATTTAACCATGTGCATTTACTACCTGTTGCTGTCACTTTGCTTCTTTTTTCAAAAAAAGGTATGAAACATGGTTTATCAGAATAAGTATTACTGAGCATGTGCAGTGTTGATCCCTTGTTTCTGAGCATCTCCGAGCAGTGCTTCACTTTTAGACCAGATAAGAGCCCTCTTCAAACGTTATAGACCCCAGCCTTCTCTGACAGACCTCTGGTTTGTAAGGCTGCCATCTTGTAGTGGCCTTCCACACACTTGCTAAGTCCTTATGCCTCCTCACGTTCATAGCCTGCCTGGATCACATCTTCACACTAGCATACTGGTCCACTGGCACCCAAATTGCTGCTGGAAACAGCTCCTTTTCTGTTTTCTGTTGTTACTACACACTAGGCTAGCCAGCCCAACTCAAGCCATATTTACTAAGTAGTACCTTGGGAATCAGGACTTGTTTACACCGTCAGCAGAATCCCGGTAAACTTTCGCTTAATCTGAACCATTTCAGGCTGCGAGTGGTTCATGTTGACTCTTCCCTCCCCCGTGACAGATAAGTGGGCATGGGAGTCAAGCTCACCGTCCTCCGGATAGGGGATTTTTGTTCGTGAGGAGACGTAAGCTCTGACTTTTCCCTTGGGAAACATAGTGAGGCATCTCTCACCACCACCGCCACCATCATACAGCCCAATGGGAGTGGGGTGGGGACTTGACTCTGGAGTTTTAAAACCCGTCTCTTATTCCCTAATAGGTATGCTTAGCGAGTGTGACTTTGTTGCGTTACTGCGGTTCACAACACCGCTGCTGCGTCCCGGGGACGTACTTTGTTCGTGTAGTAATGCCAAGATTTTCCCTCCCTTGCCTTCCTTCCACACGCCCCGTTTCCCCCCTGGACCCGCAGGCGCGTCTCCTTAAGGACCCACGAGCCCGATGCTCTTGCCAAGGTTGCCCCCCTGCAGAGTGGGGCTGAGCCACCTCGGGCGCGGCGCCGAACTCCCCCGCGATCCCGGGGCTCGCTCCCCTTTTCATCGTCCACGCCGTTCGAAATAAACGACGCCACAAAATCACCGAGAACGCGCTCCGCCAACTTCTCCTTTCAAACAAAAACCCCGCCCCCGCCACTTCTCGCTCTTTACCGGCTATTTCGAGATCAAGACAAAAGTTTCTCCCCCCCCCCCTTTTCTCCTTCTTATTTTAACGAAGGGCACACGGACCGGATCGGGAAAGTATCCAAAACATTTCAGGCTTCTCCTCCCCCCTCCCCAGCCGGCTAAGCGCGGTTTAGTATCTCCGAAAGCAGCTCAAAAAGAAATCCTGCTGTTTAGACAAGGAGAAGCGGCGGCGGCGGGGCTCGCGGGTGTGTGTGTGTGTGTGCGCGTGTGTGTGGAGTTGTCCCTCTTTTCCCTCCGTGCGTGCGTTGTTTTGTCTTCCCATTCATCGAATGGGACTTTCCGAGGGCCGTTTGACTCACAATGGGGCAGAGTCTGGCTCGCCTGTGCAAACCCCCCCCCCGCGGGCTTTCTGGCTCGAGTGGAAGAGACTTCAAACCCCACCGCCGTGCCCCGGTGCGAGCAGATCCATCTTTACAAAGCGTTTGCGGGCTGCTCGGACCTCGACGGGCGGCGCGCGAAGAATGCCTTTGATCTCCGGGCCATTCCGGAGAATTTATGCAGTTCGGGGGCGATTGTTGTTTTCTCCCTTTTGGAAGGTGGAAGGCGCGGGGGATGGAAATGCTGCGCGTCAGGGCAAGAGGGGACTAAACTCTTGAATGGGCGTTGATTACACCGTGGGGAAGAAAAACTACAAGGTAGTGCGTTACCTGGCGTTCCAAGGGTGGTCCGCTGAAACTGAGGAGTTCTCACCCCGCTTGCCTCGACTTCCTACATGCCTCGAAGGCTCGGAGCCGCGGGGGGGGGGGAGGAAAGGTATTGAACGCTTCTGAGACTAGAATTTCACCCCTCCTTCTACATTTGAAAGCTTGCAGTTAACGAGCTCAACTAGACCGACCCCTTCTTCACGGGGGGGGGGGATGAGAAGACCCATGAAAGGTAGCCCTTCAAAACGAGCTCCTTTTCCCACACCTCACCTCACTCTGACTTTTAGTTTTCTCTTGACGAGATCAACCCCCAAGAGCTAAACAAATCTACGTATCTGTTAGCCCTGTACGCGCCCGCGGGCCGGGGGTGAGGGGGGGGAAAGAGAGTTAAGTACCTACAACCCAGCAGGACGGCTTTCCGAATCAGCAGACACGCACAGAGAGACTCGCGGCGCACGCTGAGGGGCAATTTTGATACCCTGTGAGAAAAGCCCACTAAATGTAGCAGGATCCCCCGAGTTCACATGCATAAGGTCTTAAGAAAAGTTTGTGGAAAACTTGCTTCAGAGAAACGGAGTAGGGAAAATCTGCTGCTTTGGGTCTATTCTCCTCCCCCCACGAAGTCTTTAAAGCCGCGATCTTTCGCACGCCCATAGTATGGAACAAATCTGGAACAGAGAGGGGCTTACTTCTGCGTAAACTTGCTCAGGATCGCCTTACGCAGAACCTCCTACAATGCTCCTTCTCCCAGGTCATAAGGCACCCTTTCCTTTTGTTCCCGTTCCTCCCCCCCGCCGCCGCCGCCCTCCCCTTACCGTGGTAGAAGTGACCATGGCATCCGTGTGAACGTTTGCAGGGAAGTCGACATGAAGAGAAGGAGGTAGATGGAAATAATCTGGTCATTCAAAAAAATAAAAAAAAATCCACAGATGGCTTGTGCAGAAGTTCCTCGACTCTGTTATAGGAGAGGAGCCTTAAAACTCTGAATCCCGCGAACATGAATCTGCTCGATTATAACAAACCAGCTCAGCCAGATGGCTCTGCGCATTAACCCCTTTATCGCCACGTGCTCCTCCTGCGCCACGCTTGGCCACCTTAAACAATCGCGGAGAAATGTTATTAAGGATCTCCGGACCAAGTTTGGCATTTTTTTTGTTTTCTATTTCCGTTTCGAAGGCTCGCCGCGGATAAGCTTTCGAGAGCAGATACATGTGTTTTTTTCCCCTCCCCGCAACTTTCTTTCAAACCATAATGGAGAGAGTTGATATCAGCAGACTTGGGGCGGAACATCTTTCTCAAGCGTGTGCTTAAATATGTTTACTCAGAAGCAAGCTCTTCTGTGCTCCAGGAGGTGTTTACTAGTTAGAAGGAAGTTCCACTGAGTTCTTGCTTCCTAGCTAAGTGTAGAGACCATTGCAGATTTACACCTTAATAAACTGTTCTTCGTGCTGTAACCACGAATTACTAGCATCACTTCTAGGTCCTCTCTTTGGAAGGCAGACACAATTTAAAATTTCTTTATAAGATCATTTGCCTTCTTAGGGTCTACATACGTATGCCAAGAGGTCAGATTGTTCATATAAGTTAACTGGAAACAGACTGGCTGCCAGGTGTGCGTGATTAAAATATTGCAAACTTTTCTCGCTCTTTTTACAAATCAAATTTAAACATAATGTAAACTCCAGTCTGTTTCTCCTCTTAGTTATCAAGTAGGTGCCACGGATTCGTGTTTCAGCAACAGCATTTTTGCAGGAACAGCAGACAATTCTTTTGGATTTTGTTTGTAAGTGAACACATTTTTTTAAAAAAAAAGGCGGGAGGGGGGCTGGCAAATTCCTCAACATCAGCAACCCACTTCCACAGCATTTCCTCCGCCTTGTCCGTTTATCTTGTTGGGTCACCAAGAAAGGAAACGTTAATTTTAGCTGCCTACCTCTTTAATACGCTCTGAATTTACATACTTAAACGATCGTGTATGCCACCGCTTTCCTCTGCCAGATTCAAACAGAACACCACGAACAAGTTAGAACTAACATCTCGAGGTCAGGGAGGACAATTTTTTCAGAACAACCTTTCCCGCCCCAAAGTTGACGATATGGAAGGTTTTATGCCATGTATGTGCAACCCTGCAGGACGATTTGTTTCCATAGAGTTTCTTCTTTTTCTCTTCTGCGTCTGCTTCTTTACTATTTAGACTGTAAGCCCCTCAGGACAGAGATCAGTCTTTGTACAGTATTATATTTCTTCTTTTATGTACACTGCTTGCATTGTAGCTATCATAGGCAGTAATGTACTGCCTATGCAGATCATAGTTTAACTCTGTTAGCACTTCTTCGGGGAATATGGCAAGACAGAAAGGTGCCTTAGACCAAATCAGACCATTAGTCTGTCTAGTCTACTGTTGTCATGAATGCATGGCAAGGGCTTTCCAGCTCCACCTGGAGACACCAGGAATTTAACGTTGGACCTTCTGTAAACAGAGCAGGTGAGGTGCACTACCTCACACCATTGGAATGGCCATCCATTGAGTCTAAGGCAGAGGCACGTCTTATACTCCAGCAGCTGGGCTGACTCAGGTACCATCAAGCGGAATTCATTTAAGAATAGCCTTATCTCTCTTCATGTTGGAAGCAAGATCTCTCTTACCCTGGCCTCATCTACTTCACAGATGGTAGAATGTGTAGAAGGGATTCTATCACTTTAGGCAAAGAAACAAGGTGCTAACTGATCCCCTATGCTAAAATCTTGGTGGAAAAGGGGGAAAAGCACAAAGACAAAGAGCTGAGCTAACGCTTTCTTCCCAATATGTTGCTTTTTGATCCACAACAAACATTTGATGGCTTTTACATTTCCCAAACCTAGTGTCTGCTCACTCGATAATCAATTCTACTCTGGCAGCACTCTGCCGCTCCATCCAGCTTCTTGGATAGATCCATCTTCTTTCCCCCTGTCCTCATATATATATGTTGCAGGAAATATCAAACTGATGAATATGGAAACATACCGGTATCTTCTACTCCCATTTCATGTGGCTCTGTGATTAATGTTAAGATTCTCTCCCAAATCTTCTTGCTTACTTTTACGATTGCTTTAACACTGAAATGATGGAGACTGACACATTTGGACATTTGCTACACCTCTGACAATGCAATGCACCAACACACACATATATGCAGAAAAATAGATACTGATGTAACTCTTATTTTAAAAAATTATATACTGATGTAGCTTGTAAATCATGCCTATATCTAGCATATGTAATCACCTAACATGCATCTATCAATTACTCATATACTCAGTTTACAGATTAAAAATTACAATCCATAGTATACACGTTGTACCTGCCTCATCATCATCATCGTTGTCTGGGTGGACTTTCACATGGGAACAAAAAGGGAATCTTCTTTCATTGATGCCACATAACTCAAAGTATTCTGCTGTAGTTTTCAGATTATCTTCCAATGTAAAGGAAATTCATCCCTTTAGAGCTGCATCTTCAATCCAAAGTGCTGATATGTTTTTAAATAGTCAGCTTGAAGAAGAAAATATAATGGTCCAAAAATTCACCCTTGTACTTAATTCTTCAAAAAAAAAATAGCTAGGTCAACAACATCTCCTAGCTGAGATCTCCTCCTGAGAAACAGGAATTCTCCATCCGCAGCAGCCAAAGGGTTAATGATTTGACGTGCGCTCACAAACTGGGAAATTGTGATCACCAGTCCGCTCCCTGGTCCAAGCATAAGGAAAGGGAATAAGCAAAAACTCCCAAATCAATTAGCCTGCAGAAACTGACTACCTCTGCTAAGAGGAAAACCAACCAGCAACTTGCATTGTTCACAACTGGAAAAGTCTTTGCCATTCTCCACTTGTGCCTCTGGCTGTCTGCAATCAACACGCCTTGTAACATGATATCCAACACCTAATCTTGCCAGATATGCAGGCATGGAGGGGGCAGGAAAAAAAAAGACAGGGACTATTTCCACAGTTCTACAAAAGGAAGACAGCCAGACTGTTTGCATTTTCAGCTACAAACAGATTTTAGTTAAGACCTTTTGTAAACTAGGGTTCCTTACCAACAACTTAGTTTCCTAATACTGTCTCTCCAAACACCATGGTCCTTCTCCATACTTTAGAAATTGCATTTTGAACTATTTCTTGGTATGATTAGGTACCCTCAACAAGTCAGACATGTTAATAAGATGACAAAGCTCCATTCATGAATTGGGGATAATCACTACATAAAAGCTGGTGTGAAACATTTACCCACGTATTCCAATAATCTTTCACATTTACCCTTAAAAGAACCAAGTATAGGAATAGATGGATAAGAGCAGCATGACTGCTGTGGACATTGGTGTCATGGACATATAGTGCATAGTTCTCTCATACAGTGTAATTAAACAGTTGCTGTGAACTCCAGTATATGCAGGGCAGGGATGAAGTGCTTCTTTTGGTGACACTGCTGCAGCCGGCACCCTGGAGAAAAACCAAGACAAGCCGGGCATTCTCGACAGAGGCATCATGGTGCAGGGAGTGCTTCTGAAGGCACTTCAGCATAGCCGAGGCAGATAGGAAGCTGGTTTGGGAAAGAAATAACAAGTAATTAATTTACACAACCTTCATTTTTGTTGTCACAAGCTGGCTGTTTGTGTAACCAACAAAATGCATTTTTTCTCACGTGGCTCAGAAAAGGGGGGATATCGATTACAGACAGTTTTATAGATGAACTGGGTGTGCAGGTACCAGAGGGTCCATCAAACAGCTGTGGAAAAGATAGGCTGCACAAATTTCAGATCTACATGATTTGCCTGTGACTTAATTTGGCTGTAAGTGAAACAGGTTCATGATATGACAGGCTTCTAAGGCGACTATAGGTATAAAAAGTGCATAGAGGTGAGATGGCAACTGGAAGCAAACTCTCCATTTGGATTAATCTCTGCATCCCCAGTGTTAACAAAAGATAGGTAGAGAGACTGCCTGGGGGGGGGGGGACGGGGGATTACAATACTTCGAGTAATTGTTAGCTTTCGCAATAGCACCGCTTTGTGGTTGAACTCTTGCATAGAAATTGAAAGGTGTGGAATGATCTAGATCTTGTGGGCATGTTGTGGGTACACGTTGAACAAGTCTGTTGTGTTTCCATGGCGGCTGGCATTGACACAAACGATTAGGCAAAACAGAGAAGGCTGCAATGGAAATTATTTCATAAGAAGGTGGCTGCAGAATGCTGAACAAACAAGAGTTTGTGTGTTTGTTTTCAGTTTACTGATTCCTCCATTGGATTAGTGTCACGATTGTGACTAATTAGGTTACTTTTGGGGAGGGGAAGGAGAAAGGACATGCCAGTTTGAGCCGAAATACTGCTTTTTCTGCTCGACAGTCATCATTGGTTTTGAAGGGTGGCTCTCGGAAGCTGACAGAAGAAACAGAAACTGTCAGAAACCATTTCAGAAACTCAAGACTTTCCCTAAAAGTAAGAAAGATGAAAAATGTCAGTGAGCTGTAACCCTTTGTAAATCACAGTGAATTTTAATGTAAAAATGAGTTCAAAATGTTCAAAAGATGGATTGACACTGTTACTTAGAAATATCTAAACACAACTACTGATTCATTGGATGAATTTTTGGTAAAAAGAAGAGAAATTCAGTTCTCTCTGGAAATTTTATCTTCTAATCTGAAGGACCTCCTTTCTAATCTTGGTTGTGCAAACTCTTTGTAGCTCCTTGGCAGTGAGGCGAATGTACTGTACTCTGCAGATATTCAGAGACATTTTCTTTTATTCATATTGTTTATGTTTCAGAGCTAGGTTTTAGTAATAAACACAAAGACTGGAGCTTTGCTCTGTACATACCTCGGCTCATTAATTGGCATGGATAACTGACCCAGCCAAAATACTAGTATGCAATTGTATTCAGCATAGGACACTGTTTAAGGATCTTTAGCATTTGTATTTGGTGATGGCTACTGATAAATGTAGTAGTAATAATAATGGTTGTTGTAGGTTTTTCGGGCTGTCTGGCCATGTTCTTGAGGTTTTTCTTCCTAACATTTCGCCAGTCTCTGTGGCCGGTATTTTTAGAGGATAGGAGTTAGAACATAGACAGAGTTCTCACAAGTAAGTGCAGTAGTAAAGAATCATGAATAAAAGAATAGTTTTTCCCCAT